GGCATTATCCCCATAGCTGCAGGCACAGCCTCGACTTCTTGTTCAGAGAGGCTACAGGGAGAGTCAGGTTGTTGGAGTCAGGTGGATTCGGGGGCAAACTGCAGTTCTGCTGCTTATTAGCTGTGTGACACCAGTCAAATGCCTGGACCTGTCAAAGCTCGGTTTGCTCATCTGTGAAATATGTCCAGCAGCTTCCACTGCACAGTCTCACTTTAAGGATTGGTCATGCCAGCCCCTGAGCCCAGAGTTGGTGCAGAAGGATCATTTGTCTGCATCTCATCTCCTCAGCAGGGTTCCTGACTTCCAGCTTGGCTTCGGGTCTCGGCTCTAGCAGTCTCCCCTTGTTTGCCTCTCTGGCCCATCTGGGCAGAACCCACAGAGGGCTCACTCTCACGCACTGGCAGGAGGTCTCACTGGGAGATGGTGCACATGGCTTTTTGTTTGTTTGTTTTTCCATCTTGAAAAGTGCAATTTCTACACTGTCACGGAACACGTAGAACCTTGGCATATGGCTCTCTATTTATGTGCCTGGTTTAATTAATCCTGTCTTCATGTCCCATCATCTTTCTATTCCTAAGGGTGCTATTTTTCTCAGGGATCTCCCTTGTTTCCTCCTCTCCCTCCCTCCCTCCCTTTCTTCCTTCTCCTCAGACTCTTCTTTCCCTAAATACCCCTCAAGCTCACCCCGTGAAAGGCTGTGGGCCAGCAGGACAGCATCACAGTGTGGGCCTGCTCACAGCCAGAGTCAGGGCCCCCTCTGTTTTTGTCTACTTTCCCTGGACTCCACCTGCTGGCCCCCTATCCCTCTTAGCTGAGCTCCCCACAGGGCCCACCATCCCCGCTCCACCCCAGGCTTTGCCAAGAGGTTTCAGTAGTGGGGACCATTGCACCCTGACACGCTTCCCTGGCCTGAGCTGGGGCTTCTGGCCTTCTCTGTGCGCTCTCTGACTTTGCCTCCTAGAGCCTCAAGGCCCGGATGTATCCAGCTGCTTCTCCTATCGGATCATCCAATCTTTGGGTGAGAGGTTCCTCACAGGCCAGCTCACCCAGTTCTTTCTAGTCTTGCTTGTGAAAGGGCTGTCACCCCCTGTCTGGGTGCCTCTCCCTCCTGGGAGTTTGTTCCCAGATAGACTTGTGGCTTGGGCCTAGATCCAAAGCTTTTTAACAAGAAGAGAGGAGACAGTGCCTATCCACCTGTCCGTCTAGAAGTTACTTGGGCTAGCACACCTGAATATATATATATATATATATATATATGTATATATTTAAAATAACAAAACATTTATTGGTACATTGTAGACATACATAATGCTAACACTCATCACAGGGAATTTGTATCTGTAAGTGATACATTCTGCCTCTTTTTTCCCCTTCCCCTTTCCCTTCAAGCTCCCTCCTCTTCCTAGGCACAAAAGCTTTGTTTCCATCTTTTTCCTTCTGTTTTTTTTCTTGTCCCTTCCTTCCTTTCTCCCTCCCTCCTCCCTTGCTCCCCTTCCCGCTTGAACATTTTCTTCCCATTTCCCAATATCTATTATACATTTTAGTCCTCATTTCCATGTTTGGTTTCTGACACCAGAGATGTCAGTATTCAAATGCAGTATTCAAACATGTGAATCAAATTTATCTCACTTAAGAATATGGTCTCGGGCTGGGAATTTAGCTCAGTGGTTCTGGCATATGCCTTGCAAGTGCAAGTACTGAGTTTGATCCCCAGTACACACACACAAAAAAGAGTCTGGTCTCAAGGTGCATCTATTTAGCTATAAAGGTCTGAAGCGCATCTTTCTTTATGGCAGAGTAGTACTCCATTGTATTTTTAAAAACCCCACATTTTCTTTATCCATTCATCTGTTGATGGGCATTTGAGTTGTTTCCAAGATTTATCTGTTACAAACTGTAGCACACCTCACAGTATTGTCATGGCCACCAGGCACGGTGGCACATGCATATAATCCCAACACTTGGGAGGCTGAGGCAAGAGCCTCAAGTTCAAAGTAGCCTGGGCTACATAGTAAGTTCCAGGCCAGCCTGAATTACAAAGTGAGACCTTGTCTCAAAAACAAAACAAAACATTGTCATGCCCATCTCATCTCACTTTCTGATGTCCTTCCAAGAGACACCAGAGCAAGAGTTGGCTGCTTAGCTCCCCAAAGTCTACTTTCTTTCCCCTCTGAAAGAGGCCTTGAATATGGGCCATTCCCCACCCAGGGAAGCTTGGAGGACCAAGTGGGGAGCCTGGCTGCAGGGCCTGCAGTGGGCCACTTGGGGGTCTGGGGCCCTGGCTCATCTCCTGAAGGCTCGCTGCAGTCGCAGGGGTCCCGACCTCTCGTCTCCATGTCATTGCTGCCTGTGGGGTCCCCTGCACCTCCCTGCACCTCCCAGGAGAGGCCACTCTGCCAGAGAGGAGTAATTTGGGAGACACCTCCCAAAACACTTGTTCTCTCTGAGGCTTGTAAACCCCAGGCACATTCAGCCGTCTGATCTTTGCCAAAGGGCCAAAAATATACACTAGATGAAAGATAGACTCTTTAACAAACAGTGCTGGGAAAACTGGTTATCCACATGCAAAAGATTGAATCCAGACTCATATCTCTCACCATATACTACACTAAAATCTAAATGGAACAAAGATATAAATGTTGAAACCTAAGCAGTTAATCTGCTGGAAGATAAAATAGTTAAAGCTCTTGAAGACATAGGTATAGGCAAGGACTTTCTATAGAACCCCAATTGCACAAGAAATAACATCAACAAATAGGATTATATCAAATTAAAAAAACTTCTGCACAGTAAAGGAAGCAACTGACAGAGTGAAAAGAAAACCTATAGAAAAGAAAAGCTATAGAATGAGAAAAAATTTTGCCAGCTATTCCTTGAATAGAGAATCAATATCTAGAATATATAAGGAACTAAAAAAGTTAGATGCCTAATAAAAAGACCCAATCAAAAAATGGGCAACAAAAATGAATAGACAACCAGGTGAAGTGTTGTACGCCTGTAATCTCAGCACTCAGGAGCTCTGAGGCAGGAGAATCACCAGGAGTTCAAGGCTAGCCTGGGCTGCATAGTGAGTTCAAGGCCAGCCTGAAATGTCTAGTGGGACCCTGTCTCAAAAAACAAACAAACAAAAAAATAAAAGTTAAAAAAAGAATAGACACTTCTCAGAAGATGAAGTACAAATGGCCAATAAATACATAAAGAAATATTCAACATCTCTGGCCATTAGAGAAATGCAAATTAAAACAACATCGAGATTCCATCTTACTCCAGAAAGAATGGCAGTCATCAAGAAATCAAATAATGAACAAGTGGTCGTGGGGCTGCGGGGAAAAAGGAATCCTTCTACATTGTTGGTGGGAATGTAGATTAGTAAACCACTATGGAAATCAGCATAGATATCCCTCAAAAAACTAAAAATAGAAATTCCATTTGACCCAGCTATTCCTCTTCTAGACATCTTTCTGAAAGAGTTAAAGTTCATCATATTACAGTGATACATGCATACCCATGTCTATAGAAGCACAATTCATAATAGCTAAATCTTGGAAGCAGCTTATGTGTCCATTCACAGATAAATGAATAAAATAAATGTACTATTTAAACATAGTGGCGCACTACTCTGCCATAAAGAAGGATTAATGAGTCATTTGTAGGAAAATGGATACACCTTGAAACCATAATGTTAAGTGAAACAAACCAGACACACAGCTTAAATATCTCATAGTTTCTCTTGGATGAGAAACCCAAGAGCATTTACTTTAAATGCAGATAATAAGAAATAGGAAGGCAGATCTTTTGCAAAAGGAAGAGAACCAAGAGGTGGAACAAGAGGGGAGGGTGGGAAGGAGAAGGGAACAGAAAGATAATTAAGATGTGTTGTGTACATATACCAACTCCTCACGATGCATGTAATCATTATATACTGCAAACATATAGTAATAAAAACAAAAATTTAAAAAATAATTTTCTTTGGAGGAGGCAGCAGCTGCTGAGAAAAGGAGCTGCCCAGAAGATCTGGTCCATTTCATTGACTATTTCCTGGCAGACTCCACTACTTGCCCAGGCTGTGCCAAGCCCTGGGACACAAGAAGAATAAGGCGAGGTCACTGCCCTCCTCACAGTGTAGAGAGCTGTCTTCACAGTAGACAGCTGAATAGATGTCCTTGGGTCCTGTGATGAGTGTTGTGAGGATAGAGGTTTTATATATTTTTTTTGCAGTACCAGGGATCGAACTCACAACCTTGCGCTCGTAAGGCAGGCATGGCCCCACTGAGCTAAATCTCCAGCCCTGGGAGAGAGGTTTCTGGAAGACCAGAGGAAGACCCCACCTGGGCCTGGGCAAGCAGGGGCAGCTCCCCGGAGGGTGTGTCCCCTGGTCAGCACTCTGGGGGATTAGCACGCAAGGGAGGGGACCCAGGCAGAGTCAGCTTAAGTGGAGGGAGCCTGGTGCACTCGGGGAGCTGCCAAGCAACAGGGGAGACTCCACATAGCAAATGCTCTGTGTCCTGGAGCCACCCAGGCAGGAGGATGCTGAGCAGCTCAGGGATGACAGAGCCTTCCCCAGAGAGGCACCCGTCATCCTTCCCCTGAGCCTCACGGGCCTCCTTCCTGCCTGAGTCTCCTAAGCCTAAGAGCCAGCTTAGGCTACAGACTGGAGAGGAGAGAAGTCAAGCTGTGCAGTCTGGTGCATGTTCCTGTCCTGAGGTTAAGGTATTCAGGAACCCATTCCCTTAATGGCCTTCCCACTGGTCTCCACCTCGTCACACCTGGCACATAGAAGCACCCCTTGGCACTGGTGCTGGAGGAAGCAAGGTGCCCCTAGGAAAAATTCCCCTTTCCTGTGCCTACTTAACTCTTACTTGCCCATTAGTATTTCAGGGCCCCCAGCTTTTTTGTGGTACTAGGGATTGAGCCCAGGGCCTTCACAACTGAGCTATAACCCCAACCCTAAAAAAAAAAAAAGAAAGAAAGAAAATAGAAAAAACTTTCTTTTATGACAGGGTCTGGCCAAGTTGCCCGGATTGAGCTGGAACTTGCTGCAGGTGTGCGCTGCCATGTCTGGTCACTCTAACTTCTTCTGGAAACTTCTGTAGTGGATCCTGTGTGCACCACCCAGACTACCACCTCAGGACGGGACTCTCGTTCCTCTGCTCAGAGAACGGAAATTGACACTCACGGATGAATCTCACTGGGAAAATGTCCTGGCTGAAAGGAGCTTCCTGGGGCCTTCCCACTGGAGAAGGGGAGGAGGGTAACAGAGGCCTCCACACCTTTCTCAATACAGAGCAAATTTGAAGGGTCATCTCCTCTCCAGGGCTCTGTGTGGGGTTGGGTGAGACATACATTGATTGATTGATTGGTTTTTAATTTTTTTTTTTTTGGTACTGGGGATCGAACTTGGGATCTTGCACTTGCAAGGCAGGCAGCAGAACCACTGAACTAAATCCCTAGCCCTTTAAAAAAATTTTTTTTTGATTGATTAGTTTTTTGAGATAAGGTTTCCTTATGTAGTTCAGACTCACCTTGAACTCACCATGTAGCCCAGGCTGGCCTTGGATTTGCAGTGATCTTCCTGCCTCAGCCTCCTGAGTACTGGAATTATAGGTATGCACCACCACATCTGGCTGGCTGAGATCTTTATTTTAATGCAAAGGCCCCCCACCCCCACCCTCCTACTGGTGCTGAACCCAAGCACTCTTCCCAAGAAATTTTCCCAACCAATGATACCTTCCTTGACCTTGCAGGCCAGGGTGGACTCCTTGATTGCTTGCTCTTCCAAAAGGTATGTCTCCCTGTATGTTTTACATCCACCCATGCTCTCTGGCCTGTGTCTGCCTCCTCCAACCACTGTAATGCCCACAAGGGTGGGAGCCAGATCTGATATTAGTTACCGCTGCATTCCGCCCCACTGGCACATGGTTGAGAAATATTTGTTGAGTGAACAAACAATGTTGTTAGCCATCTAATCTGATTCCGTAGGAGGCCATCAACTGTACTCAGGGCTGCAGTGTCTCATTCTTTCATTCAATAAATATTTACAAAGAAATTGGATCCCTACCTCCCAGCATCCAAATAATTCCAGATGGCTCCAAGATGTTTGTAAGAAAATAAAAAAAAAGTTTTAGAAAAAAGGACGAGTAAGTTTTACACTTGATCTTAGCCAAAAGGCCAAGAAGCAATAGGACAAGTAAGTTTTAGAAAATAACTGTGGGATAATAAGTGCCTTTAGAAGCATGATATATAAAACCTTATATGACCACATAAAATTTTAAAACTTTATCAGACAAAGATAAATTTTGAAAAAACAAGCCAGTAAGGAATATTTGTAACATCTACATAAAACAAGAAGTTAATTTATTTAACATACCAAGAGCTGGCAGGTGTGGTGGCACTTGCCTATAATCCTAGCACTCAGGAGGCTGAGGCAGGAAGATTGCCATGAGTTCGAGGCCAGCCTGGGCTCCATAGTGAGTTTAAGGCCAGCCAGTACTGCAGAGCGAGACTTTGTCTCAAAAAGCAAAAAAACAAGAGCCCTTACATATCAAAAAAGAAAAAAGAAAGATGGCCAGACATGGTAGTGCACGCCTATAATTTCAGCACTTAGAAAGCTGAGGCAGGAGGATTGAGAGTCTGAGGCTGAACTATATAGCGAGATTCTGTCTAAAAAAAGAAAAAAGAAAAGAAAATGACATGAATGCTGGGATTACAGGCATGTGCCACCACGCCTGGCTCCCTAGCCCTTTATATTTATATTTTTATTTTTATTTTAAGACAAGATCTCACTAAGTTGTCCCAGATGGCCTCAACTTTGCATTTCTCAATTCTCCTGCCTCACCCTCCTTAGTAGCTGGGATTACAGGCATGTACCACCATGCCTGGCCGGCTCATTCTTTTTCTTGTTTTATTTCCACCACATATTGGTGATTGTACTCATAACTCTCACACTGAGCTACATCCTCAACCCTTTAAAAAATGTTTTTAAATTTTGAGACAGGGTCTCATTAAGTCACTACATTGCCCAGGCTGGGACTAAACTTGGGATCCTCCTGTCTCAGCTCCCTCTTTTATAACAATCTTCCCACAAGAAATAACAAAGGTTCTATGAGAACTATGTCAATTCCTTTTGAGGGCTGAGCCCTCAATAAGCTAATTATTTCCCTCTTAGAAGTTCCACACCACCTCCTGGCATTGCCACGTTAAGACCAAGCTTCTAACACATGAATTTGGGGAAAGTGCCCAAGCCATGTCCTAACCATAGCACTGTGTGCAATTAGTGACAGTGTCCTGGCAGTTTGGGACCAATCATTACAGGGGTTATGGTTTGGCTTCTTGGCTGGTTGCTACAGACTGTCACTGAGTCCTATTGGGTTTTTGTTGTTTTGTTTTGATTGGGGATTGAACTCAGGACATTTGCATTGAGCCACACTCCTAGCCCTTTTATATTTTTTTAGAGACAGGATCTTGCTAAGTTGCTCAATTGCCCAGGGTGGGCTCTAACTTGCGATCCTCCTGCCTCAGCCTTCCAGAGTCAGAATTCTATTTTTAAATATGGTCTGGCTATTGTGTGCTAGAATATTCAGTCTCTCAAAAGTGATTAACACCTTCACATAGCCAATTCCATGGCCTACACTCAGGCAAATCCACTTTCCCAGAGCATTCTATCATCCACCTAGCTTCCCAGGGTCCCTCCCACGCCCAGTGTTTCAGTCTCAGGGCCTGGGCTTGTACTGTGTTCCTACCTGCACATTATCCCCACATGGTGACCGTCATGCAGGCCAAAGAGCAGATAGGGCCTTGAAGATGCCTTATCTGAATTCACTCCCGCAGACCTCGGCCAATCTTCCAAGTCCCTCTTGCTATCTTCAGTTGTCCCATCCAGTTATCATTTCCTTGTGTATTGCCTGTTTTCTTCCACTAGAATGTCATTCCCCTGAGGGAGTGGGCAGGACTGTCCCTTTTCAGCAGGAGGCCTGGCCCTCCTGCTGAGCTTGGCAATCTCCCTAATGCCCAGCAGATATCTGTTGAATGGACTCTTGAAGAAATGAACCGAGCAAAGGCAGGCCTCCCTGGGAAAGGGTCCGTTTACCTTCGCCCTAATCCTGGGACAAAGTGTATTAGACTACCATTTGGCCACAACTGGGCCTGAGGAAGTCAGAATTTTTAATTTTAAAAAGTTGTGCTTGGTCATAGACACAAACAAGTGAACAAGCATCAATATGATAAACCAGAGTCACGCAAACCACTGTCCTCTGCACCCCCATGTCCCCCCAGGGCAAGTATTTTCCCTCTTTTAACTGATTATTTGGAGTTCTCTGTTCCACGTCTTTAAGGAACTACCTTTTCTGACTACGTGACTTTTCAGTTTTAGGATTATTTGTGACTTGACCCCATAGAAAATGAGGATTCGGCTTTCTTTCCTTGCCATGTTTCTCAATATAAAGCCCCTTCTTCAGGACCTCCTAGTGTCACCCGATAGTGTCCAAGGAGATCCCCCAAAGAGATGGGGATGGGATGGGACCTCAACTCATTTCCCCCCAGGGGCTCACTTACCTTATCAACCAGGTTGATTTACAGACTTACAGTGTCTTTAAGTGCTTTGAGTGTGATGGTCCTAAAAGAAAAATACAAACAAGCCTAGGGAGTACCACCAGGCTAGGAGGAAGATATCAGTACAAATATGGATAACCTTGGGTAACTTTTTTTATTTTTTGGTACCGGGGATCGAACTTGGGTCCTTACACTTGCGCAGCAGGCGGTGAAACCACTGAGCTAAATCCCTGGCCCTGGGTAACTTTTTTTAATGGTACTGGGGATTAAACCCAGAGTCTTAACAATGAGCTACATCTCCCCACCCCCCTTCTAGGACAAGTTGTCTCTAAGTCACTAAATTCCCCAGGCTGGTCTTAAAATCACAATCCTCCTGCCTTAGTCTCCCAAGTGTTAGGATTACAGATATGTACCGCCATGTTAGGCTTGGCCGTATTCTCGGTGTGGTTTTTTTTTGAGGTAGGGTCTCACTATGTAGTTCAGGCTGGCCTTGAACTCACTATGTAGACCAGGCTGGCCTCAAACTCACACCAATCCTCCTGCCTCAGCCTCCCAAGTGCTGGGATTACAGGTGTGTGCCATCACGCCTGTCTTGGCCACATTCTTTTACTCCACTGCCTTGGTAGGAAGGGAAGTCCCCCCATTGGTGTGGGGGGGTGAGAACAGATTCTTTCTGTCCACAGCAAAATAGACACTGCAGCCCCTCCCTGGAGGTTCCATTGATGACCCTGTGGAACTGTGGCTTTGGGATGTCACTTGGGACGTCCTGTTGAGTCACCTCACACCCAGAATCTCACTGCCAATCCCGGCAGACAGTGCCTGTGGCATTCAAAGGCAGAAAGAACGATACGACTTTTTTTGGGGGGGATACCGGGGATTGAACTCAGGTCCTTGTGCTTGCGCAGCAGGCGGCAAAACTACTGAGCTAAATCCCTGGCCCAAGAACTATATGTGTTTTAAAGAAACACAATGAGAACCACCCCCCCACCCCCCCCCAGGTTTTGGCATAAGCCTCATGAGCACTGGGCTCTCCTTTTGAGGCAGGCTGGCTGCGTCCCTGTCCTCATAGGGATGAGGGAATATTATTCCTCGGAAGGAATAAGAGCTGCAGACGTATACATAACCATAGAATCCAAGACAGCAGGCTGTTCTCCTAGGCTCGGCAGTGATCAGAGCAGGTGGGCGGTGCGGTGGAGCACTTTGTCAAGTCCTTGTTTTCTGTTGGGATAAGATTAGTGTTGTGTTTTCCTCTGATAAAGCAAGTCCTCCGAGGATATTAAATCCAGTTTGTGAAAGATCTTTAGGTTCAATGGCCCACTTAATTCCAAAAGACCTACAAGATGTTTCTGGAGCATCATGCTCTGTGTGAAGGTCCCTTCTCTGAGACAGCTCACAGTTCACTGCAAGAGGTGGAGAAGAAACACAGATTTGGGGGCAAGGCTGTCTCATGACACTGGGGACAAGCACTGGGGACATTGACAGCTTGGAAGCAGTGAACTGAGCCAGTGTAGAGGGGATGGAGGGCTTCTAGGAAGAGGTGACACCTGAGTCCTGAGTAGTACCTTGGATTAGAGGAGTGAATCGAGTGACGGCCTCCAGGTAAAGGGCAATTTGAAGGTCAGCTGGCTTGTGACCCCTCCAGAGGTCTAGGGATCCTGGGTAGGGATTCCGGTTATTCCATGAATAAAACCCATGGCATACCACTGACCCTCACTGACTTCCAACCCAATTGGGAATGTGGAGTTCAAGCAAGCTCCGCTAAATGAGAGGACTCAGAGAGTTAAAAGGACAGTTGAGCACTGGA